GAAAAAAATAAATAAAAAGAAAGAACTTGATACAGTATATTGATGACAACAAGGTTAACCACAAATGGGGAAGGGAAGGGGCATAACAACATAGCGAAACAAGAACAAAGAGTGAACCAATGCAACAGTGATACCCACAAGACACTATGTTGGAAATGAACTTTACAAATTTGGGTGGGGGGAGTAGTGAGGGGTGGAAGGATAGTGGGAGAAAAATGAATGAGTTGGGTACCAATGTTCAACAAGAAATATACTCATTACCTTACTTATGTAACTGTAACCCCTCTGTACAGCACCTTTACAACAAAATTAAATTAAAAAAGAGTCTCACAGGGACTTTTCTGCCCAGGCTGGCTTCAAACCTCGATTCTCAGATCTCACCCTACTGAGTAGCTAGGATTACAGATGTAAGCCATGGGCACCCAGCTTCCCTGAGCTTCTTTGTGCTCAAGGCTAGCACTCTACCATTTTAGACACATCTCTACTTCCAGGTTTTTTGGTAGTTAATTGGCAATAATTAGGCATAGTCTGGTTATATATATATTTTTTTTCTTTCTTTTTTTTTGTCCGTTGTGGGTCTTGAACTCTGGGCCTGGGCACTGTCCCTCAGCTCTTCAGCTCAAGGCTAGCACTCTACCACTTGAGCCACCGCACCACTTCTGGTTTTCTGGTGGTTACTTGGAGATAAGGGTCTCGTGGGCTTTCCTGCCTGGGCTGGCTTTGAACCACGATCCTCTGATATCAGCCTCCTGAGTAGCTAAGATTTCAGGTGTGAGCCACTGGCGCCGGGCAGGGGTTATATTTAGACTACATTTATTATGGAAGTAAAATTACTGGACCAGAGGATATGAACTTTGAAAAAGCGCTCTGATTGAAAAAAAAAAAAAGCAAATTTCCAGGGTTGGTGATTCATGCCTGTAATCCTTAGCTACTCAGGAGGATGAGATCTGAGAATTGTGGTGCAAGCTAGCCCAAGCAGTCCATGAGACTTAGGTCCAATTATTCAGCAAAAAGCTAGAATTGGATTTGTGGTTTAAGCAGTAGAGTGCCAGCCTTGAGTGCAAAAGCTAAGGGACAGTGAAAAAAATATGTATGTACATATATACACACATATACTAATTGCTTTCCAGTGTGTGCCAGTTTCTAATAGTATATGAGAGTGCCTATCTCACTGAACCTATCTATCCAATCCTATTTTAGATAAAGTTTCATTAACAAAATTGTTACTCAGGGCCTGGGCACTGTCCCTGAACCTCTTTGTGCTCAAGGTTAGCACTCTACCACTTGAGCCACAGCACCACTTTGGGTTTTTCGAACCATGATCCTCAGATCCCAGACCCTTGAGTAGCTAGGTTTACAGGTGTGAACCACCTGCACCCAGCTAATCCTAGTCAAGTAGCTAGGAGTCAGAGATTAGCGGATCACAGTCCAGGCCTAAAAGTCCAGAAAACTGCCATCCAGTTCTGTCCCCAACCCCCAAAACACCCTAGGTTGCAAAACAGTATTTTCTATTACATAGAAAAAATATTTTCATGGGTCTAGGGTAGAAAACTTGCTTGGCACTGGCACATTTGAGGTCTTGGGTTCCATCCTTAGTACTACAAAATAGAAAAAAAGAATACAAAAAGAGAAAAATGCTTTCATATAATCATTGCAGCACTTCAAGGTGTGCGCTTGGTGAATATGAATGATTTTAATTTTTTCTTTGTGCTCTTTTGTGTTTTCCAAAATTTTTACAGTAAGTACATTTCCTAAGCCTAAATGTGACTGAAGTAAAACTATACAACTTCATAATTGAGCTACAGGCCAATTGCTCTACTTCCTCTAGAACTTACAAGCCATCTGAAAGCTCTCTATGCTTGATAATTTGGCACAATGTTTCTCTTTTACAGCAATACTTTGAATTTTTTATATTTATTTGAGGAAGCAGGATATTTCTCAATGATTAATAATGGGTCCTGGCCCTCTTGTTTTCTGGGAAATACCTGTATTGAGAGTTTTTTTTTTGTTGTTGTTTTTGTGATGGGTCTCAGACTTAACCTCAGGCTTGTCTCTGAGCTTTTTTGCTCAAGGCTAGCACTCTACCACTTGAGCCACAGCTCCACTTCAGGCTTTATTTTTTGTCTTTTCTTTGTTGGTAGTGGGAGTCTATCCCAGGACATTGCACTTGCTAGACAAGTGATTTGCCACTGAGCTATGTCATAGCCCTCAGGAGTTTTTTGTTTGTTTGTTTTTTGTCAGTCCTGGAGCTTGAACTCTGGGTCTGGGCGCTGTCCCTCAGCTCTTCAGCTAGCACTCTACTACTTGAGCCACAGCAACACTTCTGTTTTTCTGATGTTTTTATGGGACACAAGAGTCTCACAGACTTTTCCTGCCCGGGCTGTCTTTGAACCGCAATCCTCAGCTCTCGGCCTCCTTAGTAGCTAGGATTACAGGCGTGAGCCACCGGTATCTGGCCAAGGATTTTTTGATAGTTAATTGGAGAGAAGATTCTCACTGACTTTTTTTTGTCTCAACTGGCTTTAAACATTGATCCTCTCTCAGCCTCTTGAGAAGCTAAGATTATAGGCTAGCGCCACTGGCATCTGTTCTATTTATTTGTTTTTGATGTATGTGTATTTGTTAATGATAGCTTGCATGAGTTAGACTGCTTTGCTTAAAGTAAGAAATTTTAACTAGTCTGTTGGTATACCAAGGCAATTTATGTTAGCCTGTTGGTACACTAAAATTAGATGGGTAAGTGTTGAGGGTTTTGGTTTGGTTAGTTTTTGTTTTGGTTTGTGTTGTCTTTGAGATAGCATCTCACTGTTTAGCCCATACCAGGCTGCTCTGTGTTTATAAAATTACATAGAAAATTTAGTCTCTTGACTACTGGGATTATAGTCATGCACTAGAGTTTAGAAGAGGTATCTAGCAACCAGGAAACACATGAACAATTTTTTTTTTTTTGCTAGTCATGGGGCTTGAACTCTGAGCCTGGGTGCTGTCCCTTAGCTCTTCAGCTCAAGGCTAGCACTCTACCACTTGAGCCACAGCACCACTTCTGGCTTTTTTCTGCTTATGTGATGCTGAAGAATCGAATCCAGGGCCTCATGCATGCAAGGCAAGCACTCTACCACTGAGCCACCTTCCCAGCCCCCAAATGAACAATTTTTAAGTTTTACTTTACTATGCATTCATTCTGGTATGACATGTATAGCTTAAGAGATAGGTACAATGTGCTGTTTGAAGCAAAACCATTAACAATCATTGTTACATACTTTTTTTAAGAGAATTTTTTTCTAAATATAGAACATGAGTTCATCAGTAGGAATTGTCTGATAAATTCAGATGGTAAAGTTTATTAAAAGCTGCTGAAAAAAATCTGTTCTTTTATCTGTTTTCCTAAATTCATAATGTTAAGAGTTAAGTAACAGATTAAATTGAAATAGATGAGCATATTTTCTCAGTATAATCAACTGGAAATCACAAAATATTCTCAGAGCTCGAGACATTTAAAAACTAGTTAATTCTTTTATCCTCTTCTTTCACTTTGAATTGATTTTTCTCAGCTTCTCTAATAGTGTATGAAGGTTTTCCCTAAAGATTCTCATTGATTTTTTTTTCTTGTGCTGATCCTGAGGCTTTAATTCAGAGTCTGGGCACTGTCCCTTAGTATTTTTGCTCAAGACTAGTATTCTGCCACTTGGCCACAGTTTTAATTCTGTTGGGTCATTGGAGATAAGCATCTCATGGTCTTTCTTGCCCAGGCTGGCTTCAATTTGCCATCTTCAGATCTCAAGACTCCTGAGTAGCTAGGACTATAGTTATGAGCCACCAACACCTGGAAATTGTAAGAAAACAAATCACTTAGCCGGGCATTGGTGGCTCATGCCTACAGTTCTAGCTACTTCAGGAAGTTAAGATCTGAAAACTATGGTTCAAAGCCAGCCCAGTAAGTTGTTTTTTTGTTTTTGTTTTGTCAGTCCTGGGGCTTGAACTCAGGGCCTGGGCACTGTCCCTGACCTTCTTTTGTTCAAGGCTAGCACTCTACCACTTGATTCACAGGGCCACTTCTAGCTTTTTTTGTTTATATGGTACTGGGGAATTGAACTCAGGGTTTCATGCATGCTAAGCAATCACTCTACCACTAGGCCATATTCCCAGACCCAAGCCCTGGCAGTCTTTGAGACTCTTATCTCTCCAATTAACCACCAAAAAAAGCCAGAAGTAGAGTTGTGGTTCAAGTGTTAAAGTGCTAGCCTTGAGCAAAAGAGCTCAGGGGCAGCATCCAGGCCCTGAGTTCAAGCCTCCGGACCTATACGTCTGCATGCACATGTGCGTGCGCATGTGTGTGTGTGCGTGCACGCACACACACACACACACACACACACACTTTTTTTTTGGGGGGGGGGATCTGGTCATGGGGCCTGAACTCTGGGCCTGGGCGCTGTCCCTCAGCTCTTTAGCTCAAGGCTAGCACTCTACCACTTGAGCCGCAGCACCACTTCCCGCTTTTTTCTTTTTGCTTATGTGGTGCTGAGGAATCGAACCCAAGGCCTCATGCATGCAAGGCAAGCACTCTACCACTGAGCCACCTTCCCAGCGCCCCCCCCCACTTATGTGAGGTATATTCCCAGTTACACATATCCATGTAGATCTGGATTGCAAAAAAAGTGAAGGTTTTGTCTCTTTTATGATGTTAGCTCACATGTCTGATTTGCTGTATTTCAAACTTTCTCTTAGCCATAATAACAGACAAAAGAAAAATAGAAATATTATTTATAATGTTCCATTTATTTTGTCACTGTATAACCTGGTCATAAAAATTTTTACCCGAATATTTATTGAAATAATTCCTGGGAGAGAAAGCAAGAAAAATAACTGGTAATTACAAAGTTTTTCAATAATGAGTTTGTTGTTTTTTTTTTTCCGGACAAATTGATAGATATGCCTCTAAACTTGTTAATCACAGCCTTAGGAAACCCACATACTAATATCATTTTGTCATTTTTCTGTAGATGTGTTCTTTGTGCCACTGTCCTGGAGCGACAATTGGTTGTGATGTGAAAACTTGTCATAGGACGTACCACTACCACTGCGCATTGCATGACAAAGCTCAGATCCGAGAGAAACCTTCACAAGGAATTTACATGTAATTATTGAACATGTCTTTACAACATTTGAGCAATCATTACTTTTACAAGTTTCAAAGCATTCCATGGTCGCATCATAAAGGGGGTTTTGGATAAGGAATTTAATGCTCACAGAAAGGATACAGGGAGGTCCATGATAAGCTTTTTTTTTTTAAAGTACTCCCTTGTAAATGGGATAAAGTGTAATACTCATTTGTTACTTTGAAAATTGAATTTATTTATATATTGATAATTTCTGTCTTCATTTTTTAAGGGTTTATTGTCGAAAACACAAGAAAACTGCACATAACTCTGAAGGTATGTCATTCAGCCACTCCCCACTTTCAAAAAGGAATTTAAATAAAATGAGTAATAATTCTATGTGAATTTTTACCTTAAGATCTCAGTGTCAAATATATTTAGAAGAATTAGGAAAAGTCTTGGTATAAAATAAGGTCTGTAATAAAGATCTAAATTTTGAAAGAAGAATAATCTCCAAGATCTTAATAAAGTATATAGTTGAAAATTTATTTCACTTTCGAAAGAAATGATGCTGGGGACCACATCTTTCTGTGAGGGTGATAATTTGAATCCTTGATTCCAAAAATATTACAGACAGTATGAACTTAGGAATACTAGTAGATTTTGTGATCATCCAACTTTCTTTGAAATTTTTAGTCAAATTTTAGTACCCTTATCTATTGGTTTTGTGGGGTTTTTTTTGTCTCAATTCTGGGATTTTAACTTAAGATCACTCAGTTTCACTTAGTATTTTCATACTTCCACCTCAGGCTTTTTTCTGGTTAATTAGGTAAGAGTCTGGGGCTGGAAAGGTAGCTCAGAGGTAGAGTGCATGCCTTGCAAGCATGAGGCCCTGGGTTCGATTCCTCAGCACCACATAAACAGAAAAAGCCGGAAGTGGCGCTGTGGCTCCAGTGGTAGAGCGCTAGCCTTGAGCTGAAGAGCTGAGGGACAGTGCCCAGACCCAGAGTTCAGCCCCATGACCGGCAAAAAAAAAAAAAAAAATTAGGTAAGAGTCTCATGGAATTTTCTGCCTAGACTGGCTTTGAAATGAGATACTTAGACCTCAGACTCTTGAGTAGCTAGGATTACAGGCATGAGCCACTGATGCCCAGCTCAATAATTAGAACTTTTGAGGTGATAAAGTACACTGAAAAATCTTCAGTTTTCTTTTCCTTTGTTTGGGGGGGGGTAGACCTGGGGCTTGGACTCAGGGCCTGGGTGCTGTCCCTGAGCTTCTTTTTCTCAATTGGAGTTTAGTTAATTGGAGAAAAGCATCTCATGTACTTTTCTGTCCTGGCTGGCTTTGAACTCGGATCCTTAGATCTCAGCCTCTGAGTAGCTAGGATATAAGCATGAGCCACCGGCATCTGGCTACAAAACATTCTTTTTAAAAAAATTTTTTATTGTGAAAAAATTGTACAGAGGGGTTACAATTACATGGGCAAGATAATGAGTACATTTCTTATCAAGCATTGCAGCCTCCTCCTTTGTTTCCCCTTCCCATCCCTTCCAAGCCTCCCTCCCCCCACCCACCCAATCATTCTTAAGATAATATAGTGGCCACATATGTTAGTAACTGAGGATCAAGACTTGTGAACTGGGGCTGGGAATGTGGGTTAGTGGTAGAGTGCTTGCCTAGCATGCATGAAGCCCTGGGTTCAAATGTACCACATGAACAGAAAAAGCCAGAAGTGGCACTGTGGCTCTAGTGGTAAAGTACTAGCCTTGAGCAAAAGAAGCTCAGGGAGAGTTGCCCAGGCCCTGATTTTAAATCCCAGGACTGGCAAAGAAAGAAAGACTCGAGGTGTATTATTAACATACTGGAATAAGATATTTGAAATGTTTAAGGGTGATTAGTACATATTGATATAGCAGGCTCCCATTTTATCTTTTATATTTCTGATGATGATAGTACCATCTAGTGGCATACAAAAGTCATTGCAGACTATATAAAGTATACAGAGTCATTTTGATAACATTTTTGCTTTGTGAAACTTAATAGACCTGTTTACATGCTTTTCGAGACAAATTTGAATGTAATTGGTGGTATTGCTACAACTTTAATTTTGAGATTCAAATTAATTTGAGTTTAGAGTTCAGCACATTCTTGTATTTCTGCTTTATTTTTCAAAGTAATAGGTTTCATTCTGAAATTGTCATACATGTGTACAATGACTTGCATATATTGTATCATGGTTCTCTTCTCCCTACATTGTTACCAAATGTTTCTCCTTCAGTTTATATTTGTGTAGAGTGTTGGGGCCTCTTGTTTCATTGGTATAGAATGTTTTTTTATGTCATATTCTAAAATTTGAAGTATTAAGTTTACATGTTAAAAGAAAATCAGGAACTGGGTGCCAGTGTCTCACGCCTGTAATCCTAGCTACTCAGGAGGCTGAGATCTGAGGATCGCAGTTCAAAGCCAGCCCAAGCAGGAAAGTCCATGAGACTCTTATCTCCAGTAAACCACTACAAAACCGGAAGTGGTGCTGTGGCTCAAGCGGTAGAGCACTCACCTTGAGCTGAAGGGCACAAGGACAGCGGCCAAGCCCAGAGTTCAAGCCCCACAACCGACAAGAAAGAAAGAAAGAAAGAAAGAAAGAAAGAAAGAAAGAAAGGAAGAAAGAAAGAAAGGAAGAAAGAAAGAAAGAAAGAAGAAAAGAAAGAAATCAGGGCCAGGCACAGGTGGCTCAGGATTATCTCCAATTAACCACTCAAAAAACCAGAAGTGGTGCTGTGGCTCAAAGTGGTAGACCAAAAAGAGTTCAGGGACATTGCCCAGCCCTAAGTTCAAGCCCTATGACTGACAAAGCAAAAAAAAAAATATATGGATTTTTGTTGGTGGTGGTATTCATGGAGCTTGAACTCTGGGCGTGGGCGCTATCCCACAGCTTTTCAGCTCACCACTAGCGCTCTACCACTTGAGCCACAGCACCACTTCCAGTTTTCTGGTGGTTTATTGAAGAGTCACACAAACTTTCCTGCCCAGGCTGGCTTTGAACTCCAATTCTCAAATCTCAGCCTCCTGAGTACCTAGGATTACAGGTGTGCGCCACCAATGCCTGGCTATCAGAATTTATATTTATTGGATTTTGCCTTTTATCATATTGACCTTGCTTAAACTTATATTGAGTACTTTGTCAGAAACAACTTGTAATTGTTCTGATGGAAAACGTGTTCCCTTTATGATCATGATTTGTGATGGTGGTTATAGAATTGAATTCCAGGGACTGTCTTTGAGCATTGTACTTCATTAGTTTCTAGAGCAAAGAAAATAATGCCTGCAGTAATTTCACAATCGCTTACCATCTGTGTCCTAACACTTCTTTACTTAATATATACGGTAAGTGCTCTATAATTCAGTCCAGTCTGTCATGTTAGCCTTATATAATGTGGACTATTTTGAAGTATTAAAAGAATCATTGTATTATGCTGGTACTGGTTGTTCACACCTATAATCCTAGCTACTCAGAAGGCTGAGATCTGAGCATCACAGTTTGAAGCCACTCAGGCTGGCAAGACCTTGACACAGTTATCTCCAATTACTCACCAAAAAAGCTGAAAGTAGAGATATAGCTCTAGTGTTAGAGCCATAGCCTTGAGTTGATAGAGCTCAGGGACAGCATTCAGGCCCTGAGTTCAAGCCCTGAGACTGGCAAGAAAGAAAGTTCCCTTTGCTCCACCTACTCACCCCTTCTGGCCCCAATCCCCAGAAACCACTGACATGTTTTGCTGTCTTCATGCAGTTGTCTTTTCCAGAATAGCTGGAATTATATGGTGCATAGCTTTTCCATATTGAGTAATTGATTGGGTTTTGTGTGCGTGTGTGTGTATGTGTGTGTGTGTGTGTGTGCACGCACGTGTGTGTGCACACACAAACACATCTGACAGTACTGGGGCCTGAACTTGGGGCCTTGAGCTCTCACTTGGCTTTTTCACTCATGGATAGTACTCTACCAGTCCTTTTTTGCAAGTTAATTTGAGATGAGTCTTGCAGAATTTTCTTCCAGGCTAGATACAAACCAACATCCTCAGATCTCAGCCTCTTCAGTAGCTAGGTTTGTAGATATGAGCCACCAGTGCCTAGCTCTTAAGTGCTTTTTTATTAAATGGAAATTTAGAAAAATTTAGTGTGATGTTAAAGTCTTAAGTTTAGCCAGTAACCCTGATCTGAGTACTATATAGTATACGCATATACAGTAATTTCACAATGTATACCATAAATGTGTTCAATTCCTATGTGTTAATTGAAAGTAAAAAAAAAAAAAAAGAACGGAGAGTGCTTGCCTAGCATGCATCAAGCCCTGGGTTTGATTCCTCAGTACTAGATAAACAGAAAAAGCCAGAAGTGGCGCTGTGGCCCATGTGGTAGAGTGCTAGCCTTGAGCAAAAGAAGCTCAGGAACAGTGCCCAGGCCCTGAGTTCAAGCTCCAGTACTGGCAACAAAAACAAGTAAAAAGTGTTGCTAAGTTCTGTGGTACATGGCTGTAATTCCAGCACGGATGAGGTGAAGGCAGGAGGATCATGAATTTAAGCCAGTCTGGGCTACATAGCAAGACCCTACCTCCAAACAACAACAACAACAAACAAACAGAAATAGATGTATGTGTATACATGTGTTTATTTATTTATAAACCTTTAAGCTTAGTAGTGTTAAATGGGCTTATTGGCTGTACAGGTTAAGAGTATGGACTATGAAATCAGATCTTAATTTGAATCTCAGCTCTGTTTCATCTGATATATGTCATCTAAGGCTCTCAGAAATAACTTTATATGTTACATCTGTGAAGTGGCGATTAAAGAAAATATGGCTGGAGTGAGATACCAGTGGCTTATGCCTGTAATCCTAGCTAGTAGGGAGACTGAGATCTGAGGATTGTGGTTCAAAGCTAGCCTGGGCAGGAAAGTTTGTGAGACTCTCATCTCCAATAAGCTACTCAGAAAAAGCCAGAAGTGGTGCTGTGGCTTAAGTGGTAGAGTTCTAGCCTTGAGCAAAAGAATCTCATGGACAATGCCTGGCCCCTGAATTCAAGCCTCAGAACCTGCACACATCCCCATAACCAGGGTGGGGACTTTAGATTATTGCAAAGATTAAATAATACTTGAGTAGCTCTTAGTAATATTCCTGACATTATAGTAAGTTTCAGTCAACATGATATTGCATACCATTGTTATTCTTTTAAAATTCTACCTTCCTTCTTTTTTGGCCAGTTCTGGGGCCTGAACTCAGGGCCTGGGCACTGTCCCTGAGCTTCTTTTTGCTCAAGGTTACCACTCTACCACTTGAGCCAAGC